AATACAAAAGAATTTAAAAAAAATTATCTATATAAAATATTCAATAAAAAACTATATATAAAAAGAAGAAATTTTTTTTTTATATATGATCAAACTTTATGTAGAAATTAAATTAAAACAATTAAATCAGACTATAAAATAATTTTTATTAAATATTTGTATTTTTATAAAAAAATAAATCATATCATTTGTATACTGTATTCTGTATTATAAAAAAGGTATCTTTTATGAATACGTCTGTACGTGACCCGAAAAGTAAAATGAGCCGGTACATAACTTTGGTTCCTCTTTTACCACTCGTTTCACACTCTGACTTGTGTATCACATGCAGGCACCTTCCGGGAAAGATGTCCGCATCTTTTTGCTCATCAACACCCACCCCTGCATTATTGACTATTGAGTCACCTACCACCTTCAAATTCTTTGCAAGGCACCTTCCAGGAAAGATGTCCACACCTTTTTGATCATCAACACCCCTGCATTATTGAGTCACCTATTACCTTCAAATTCTTTGCTTCTTCCTTTTCATCCCAACCCATCCTCACTCTCTTTCATCGATCTTTCCAGCATAAAACTCTTTCTTTTTCTGCTAAATCTTCTTGTTCAAACGCATCTCCACTTGCATATTCAGCTTCGATCCAGTTAGCATTCAGAACCAAAGCTTCAGGCAAGGGAGGTATATGTACGTAAATATATTCCCTATATTTATGCTTTAATTAATGATTGAATGGTTAATATTTTTGATTACTAGGACATATCGATCAAATTGAATTATAATAGCAAACCAAATTTGACTAGATGCATTTAGCACCCAATAAGGTTCACTGGTGGCGACAGAAAACATATTCGAATGAGACAGTGGTGGTGCAGGGTTAAAGCGGTCTCTGCAGCTTTTGCCACTTGACAAATTGTTCACTGTTTGGGGTGTATTAATTATATTTTATTATTATTATTTTTTATAAAAATTTATAAAAGTAAATTTTATATTCAATATCAATATCATTAAATTTGATAGTTAATAAAATTAAAATCATTTTATAATTTTTTATATAAATTAATAATGAAAAAGT